TTCGTGCACTATTATACATTCTGAACTTTAATTAATGTAAAGTTGAGCGGGTGTTTGTTTGTCATGTATGTTCTCTACAGTTCTTACAATATCATGAATTATTTCTAAACAAATCATCAAACTATAAAAGGCTGAAAATGGCAAAAATTGCAATTTTGAAAGTGCCCTAAACAACAACTTAAGTAGTGCTTAATGAATTTTGATTGTGTAGAAATATATAAAACTATGAAACTATAACTGAAGTATATGATTAAGGCTCTTTGATATTAAATTTCCAGTAGAATTTGACAATTATATTTTGACCCTATAAGTGAAACAAATGTAGGGTAAATTGGCCCTACTTCTTTATATAGCATGCACAGTCACTATGTTATTTCATTTTCTAGCAATGGATCAATACCGCTGTTGTTGTAATATTTGGTCCCCGATGTTGTCATTAACTCGACTGTCAGTGATTAGGTACTGAAACTATCTATAACATACATTTCTTAAATTATCCAATAATTATTTTGGAAATTAGTAAGATTTAAAGATCCATTTCCGTCAGTCAATGTTGACCTAAGATAGATTTTGATATTATTGTCAGGTACCTTTGGAAGAGAAAGCTCTTAACGTGTTTCAGTACTTGTACATCTATGGCTTTCAAATTTTGGGATTGGAGCTTTCCTGATGAGAGTAAATCTAGAAAAGCGCTTTAGACCCATAACATTTATAAAGTGTTATTTTCATTTTCAACTCGTAATTGATAAGTTATATGGGTTGCTACTGACCCCATACGATCCATAGAGGGTTAGTAAAATCCACAGGGGTGAGGACGAAGGCCGAATCTCCAATGGAATTTACTAACCCTCTATGGATCCGTAGGATGTCAGTAGTGAACAGTATAACGAATTTATCACACACGGGACTTTTCCTGCCAAATTATGAATATATTACAGTCATTTTTTAAATTTAGGCATTTTGTATAATGACTGAAATTTTAAGACATTTTACAAAATGCTTCAAAGCATAAAACAGAATGAAATGTACACACAAAAAAAAAGAACGACTGGAAGTATCAAACAGACCAGCTTATTTTATTATTGAATAGCATGCAATTTTTTAAAATAATAATCAGAAGAAAAACAAAAACAATAAGTCTTAATGCATCATCGATTGATTACTGCATGCTAGACGTCCAGTGGCAAATATTTCATGGATAATCAGAACGGTTTTTGCGGGAACATGATAAGAGATTCGCTATACAAGATCTCACAGAAGTCGTCAACTAACTCATTATATATGATATTATCCTTATTTGACATGAACTGTTCTTAGAAATATTCCTTGATTGCATCATATTTCTATCTTTTATATTTTGCCAGGTGAGCGATTCAGGCACCTAGAAGCATATAATTTGTTATTTACTAATGTTTGTTACGAAAACTGTAAAACAACATTATAGCTTGACAGCACAAATGCACATACCTTTGCATATGTCAATAATCCAAAGGATGTTCTTCTATTCCAATCTTGTTTTGTTCAAAATAGTTTTGTATTTTTCTCTGTTCCATATTACACATTTCTGATTAAAATCAACATTTTCAATCAATTGTTTTTTAAAAATCTTTCTTCTTTTGTAAGAACAATGTGCCCTTCTGTCATTGTAAAGAGACGGCCATTAAATGACCCTCTGAAAAACAGAGCAAAGCAGTTTTTCTATACGGAGTTCTTAAAACTATCAATACCTCAAAATTTACTTGCCGGCTACATTTTTATATTTTATTTTACTCAATATTTCTCTGCTTTCTAAGATATTTTTATCATTTATTTCATGTATTTCATATTTATACAATTTGCCCTAACTGAAAAGGCAATTTTTTGAATTTTCATTGGAAATTTCGGGCTTTTAGAAAATGACTAGGTATTTTTTGGCATTTGAGAAAACACCTGTCAACTTAAGGTTGCACTTTGTAAATACAGCTGTTTCTCAAACCACACCTCTTTTGGGGAGATATTTAATATTCATAGGTATGTTAATTTGTTAACGTACTGGTTCCTATTGATGATCTCTGTGTTTCATCTCATAGAGACATCACTTGGGAATGTAACCAGTATAGAAAAACATGGTAGCGGCTAAATTTTAATTCTTAGGAGGTCCAAAAATGGAGGTAAGGGTAGTATAAAATTTTAGTATAAGTTTAAACTCTTAGAAGTTCAGGGCATATAAATGTTGAAAATATGCCGCACAGCCCTATATTTTGACCTTTGAATAAAATAGTAGTGCATATAAACTTTCCGTTCTGGGATATTATTTTTCACGAAACTTCATAGTAAAAGTGTCACAGTTTAAGCCGCAAAGGGAGTTCCTATGGGAAATTGCATTGTCTGTATTTACAGAATTGCAACCTATATAGGGTTAAAAAATAGAACATACAGAATTTCACAAAATCTGGTTTATCTCAGAGATTTTAAAGAATTTAACTCAAATATGAAGTTTTATAAATATTTCATGAAGATTGAGAAAATCCTGGGCCTTAACTATGATGACTCAGCATAAATTCACAGTTTACAGTATGCATGGTTTACTTAAAGCCCTGAATTCAAAATAAATTCATAATATATGCCTATATGTAATTTAAATTGTTTAGAAGTGCTTATATTTACTTTTCGCAGTAATTGCAACTCATTGATCCTTCCTAAATATTTCTGGTGGGGTGTTTTGTCCTGTCGATAACCCAAAAGTAAGCCGTAACGCCTAAATGTGCTTTTTTGTGACTGCGGCATAAAAAAGTACAAGCTAGAATTACAAAAAGACCTCAGTAAAACTTACAATAGTGTGTTCTATCCTAAATATGTAGTAAATATTCCACATTGCTAGAAACAGGGAAAAAAATTAGGAAATGTGAGGCCCCAGGGGCAAAACACAGAGACAAATGCCTACCCCTGAGTCATAAAACAGATAATTTAACTTGTAGATGCTATGATTTTTTTATTTTAAAGGTCTTTTATAAAGTTAACAATAACTGTGCTAGGAAGTTATGCAAAAATCAGATGTGAGCAGTCATTTCAATTAAACTTTTAGTGAATTTATGCACCAGACTGATATCTTCATAAATGTGACTGCGACTGATAAAAAGGGCCCAGATGCGGCATTTACGATTTCGTATTATGACGTCGTAAAGTTGACGTTCTCAAATCTAAACGAGCACCTGTATTTCGTAATTACCGATTTGCAATTAGGTTTTGAAAAGGGTTGAAAATAGACTGAACTTTTGATACTTATAAAATTGATTAATATTTCCACATCAATTATTAAAAAATATTTATTTTGATTACCTTGAAATGCATAACATGGAGCGTAAACCAGTCACAAAACTTTTAATTGTCCCCCTTTGTATTTACAAAAGTACAAATGGCGGTCTTAGTATAAAACAGATAAAATGAGCCAGGGAAGTCGATTTTCGGCAAGTCAGAGTAGCGTACCGCCTGAGATTTTGCAGAACCAAGATGATGATTTCATAAATGAGTTGAATAGGGTCGACGAATTATATTTTTACGATTACGAATGCCCCGAGTCCGAGATTAATTCTGATGTTGAAAACTTTGAATCTGCCAATGACGACGACAATGTCGATCATTTAGTCGAACCTTCAGATGACGATACACGAGAATATTGCACAGATCCGTTTTAGAAATGACACTTGCGGGTGCAAAGCATTTTATGGCGAACCTTGTAGCCAAATCATTGAAATGGACGCCGTTATTGAATTCCGAGAGCACTGCAAGGAACTTTCTAAAGATGAACTTGATATGATAATCAAGGCTGAATTGTTTGCACACAGGCGTTCTGGTAGTGTCACTGAAGCCAAGAAACACAAAATTAAAGAAAGGGAACGCCCATACCAGGAGTTTTATTTCAAAGGAAAGCGAGTATGTAGAATACAGACATTTTGTTTTATCCATGGGGTTGAATTTAAGAAGAAATTACTTTCTATTGCAAAATCACTCGATGTAGATGGCCCATCTCCTAGAACTCATGCTAGCACAGGGAAACTTCCAAAACATGCCCTTACATTTCAGGATTCAGAAAGGATAAAAACATTTCTTATCAAATATGCTACTGATAATGCTTTGCCTCTACCAGGCAGGTTGCCTAATTACAAGAACCATCAAGTTTTGTTGTTACCATCTGACAAAAATTCAGTTGACATTCATGCAGAATATGAAAAACTTGCAATAAATATGAAGTATAGAAGTGTGAGTGTAAGAACATTTCAAAGACAGTGGCATGATTTATGTCCCAATATTGTAGTTACAAAGCCATGTACTGATTTATGCCAAAAGTGTCAGGAATATGCTGGTAAAATATCTAATAGTGGAAATCTGTCTGAAGAGGAAAAACAGTTATTGTTAAATCAATATACTATCCATGTACAACTCACAAAAGAACAAAGAGACTACTACCGTGAGCAGGTTAAACACTTAGCAAACAAAACTACATGGACTTGCCAGATGCACTGAAACAATCAGGTAATATATATATAAAGGTTAAATAATTTTTTCCACCAAAGTATGACTTCTGTATTATAATATTACATATCTCTTTATGTCTCTCCTAAATATCTGTTCATATTCATAAAACATACTTTTGAATATTTTTATTATTATTTATATATGTTTCAAGTCCTTACCAAATAGTCAGTGCATGCATTTTGTTCATATGTAGAACAGTAGTATATATACATGTAAGTGGTGAACTTTATTCCATACTTTTGTTCACATGTGACAGTACATTCAGTTGTATATAATTGGTCAACTTTATTCCAGACAACCATTAATCATATTAATCATGTTAATAACATACACAAATTCACAATCTTGACACTTCTACTTCTAAACATACATGTACATGTCTCAATATACAATGTTCATGTATCCTTTTTGGACTCAATATTACTTGGATTAGATAAATTAGATTCAATTGTACTACCATGACTGCAGGAATATTTTTTTAATAAATGGCAAAAGCTTTTATTGAACAGGCTATCCTCAATCTTATGTATTTAGTTGTTAACTCTTACATGTGTTTTACAGGAAATTCTCAACAGTCAGTACAGACCACTCTACACTATTCCTGGGATTGTGCCCAACAAGTTCACTTTCCTCACCATGCTCAGCAAGTGGGACCCATTTATTTCAAAACACCAAGAAAATGTAATGTGTTTGGAGTCTGCTCAGAAGGATCTGGTAATTTTTTATTGGTTTTTTATTACATTAAATATATGCTTTTGATAGTTAGAAACAGTAGCATGAACATGTGATTTATTATAATTTATAGTTTTAAAACAGACTGATGGACATAATCACTGGACATAAAAATTTATATTTGATGTACATGATCATTGACTTGTAAGGTGTAGTTTTCAAGGTAAATAACTCTGATATAAATAACTATACCCTTATGATTCATGTATGTATTGAGTTAAGTTACATACATGTATATGGAAATAGATTTCTTAAACATGATTTATCTTTATTTATTTACCTCTGTTGCACACATCATGTACTAGTACATGTTAAATTGTAATTTGTGAATATATTATTGTATTAGATATGTATGCTTTTGTTTTAAATGTTTTCAAAATGGCTAATGGTAAATTTTGTATGTAATGTTTTGTAGGAAAACAAAGTTTCTATTTGATTGATGAAGCTGAAAGTATTGGCAAAGGAGCACACTCTGTTGTTAGTATGGTGCATCACTATTTCAACAAATTTGGTCATGGAGAGACTGATGCTAAAATCCATTTTGACAACTGCACTGGTCAGAACAAGAATAATGTTGTATTATGGTATGCATTATGGAGAGTAATGACAGGTAACTATTATTTGATTATGTTACATTATTTCACACAGTGTTATATTATATTCAAACTATAACCAAGACAACAATTTATTGATAAAAGTTTAAAATTCTCTTTTTGAATAAACAATACTGATTTTATTCTATCTGTATTTTTAGATTAAGATATACATTGTACCACATCTCCTTTTTTTATATTAACAATGTATGCAGAATATGTTATAGTGATAGTTCTGTGATTAGAATCAACATTTCATGTTATCAACATTCAAAAGATTTATTTATTTTTATAAGTATAGGGCTCCTTTGTTCAATTAAATTTAATAGTGACTTAATAGGCTATTAACCTTAATTAACGTTTGTGCAACGTAAATAATAGACTATTAAATTTAAGTGTACTTTTAATAGACTATTAACTTTAATAGACGATTGTGCAACCCAGTCCAGATGTATATATTTTGCATACAATATTTATTTCTAGTATGACAACTTTAGTTACTGGTATCTTTTTAACTTTCTCATTTTGGTATTTGCTTTTTTAAAATAAGTATTTTTTGTAATAGAATTTTTATTTTTGTTTTGCCAGGATTACACAAAAGCATAGAATACTCAATGATGATTACAGGACATACCAAGTTTGAGCCTGATTGGCATTTTTTGTTTGGAAGTTACACTGGAGAAATTCAGCAGCAGAAACATTATCAGAGGTAGATAATGGTAGTTTATATAATAATTAAAACTACAATTTAATATACAAGTACATGTATAAACATTATTACTTGATTTAAGATAGAACTATGATCTATGTTTTTTTTGCTAAAGTCATTTCAAATAGTTAATATTTCACCTACCGGTATTCAATATGATCAAAGGGCAATAACTCTTACAAATATGAAACCTGGATTAGTTCTTTGGATTAATGACATAACATTAGTTTCTTAAAATGTTTTATCTTGTACACAAATTACAAAATGTACTCATAATTGATTCAAGCATAGATAGCATATCCAGTTTTTACCTGAGTTAGTTTCTAAATTTATAGATTTATCTGACTTGCATATTATTGTCATCTGTTTTTGATGTCTGGCTGTATTTTACTGTAAAGTCACCTTTTCAAATTTTCTTTTTTTAAATCTGTATGTATTTGTTAATACTCTCAAATCATTTATGAAAAGTCTTGCAGTTGATTTATTGTTCTTTGTTTTATTACAGGTAGCTGAAACTGTGACAAGGTCCAGCAGAAATATACACAACATACCACAAGTTGTAGGAAATATACAAGATCCTGTAATGTTTTATGAATGGAAGCCTTATTTTCAACAGTACTTTAAAACTTTGAAACATATAACTGACTATCATCATTTTTACATGGATTCATAACACCCAGGAGTAGTAACATGAAGAGAAAATGCATCTTCAGAATCATATACATTCAATTTACTGAAATGCAAAACTAAAACTCCACCAGGAGGTGAGCTTCCTCAACCATCTAACATCAAAGGACTTGAACCTGCCAGGCAGTGGTATTTATATGAGCAGATAAGACAGCACTGCTACTCAGATTCAGCTAAGAACATTACATGTCCGAAACCACTGGTTCCTAAAAAGGAAATAGACTTAACACAACAAGACCAACACAATGCCAAATCCAATGGAGGAAGAAAAAAGGCTCTGCTGAACTAAATAAAATGATAAAATATTCGAGTGAAAATTATTTGAATTTTAACACAATGCTTGTTGTACTATTTAAAACTAAAGAGATGTGTTATGATTACCAATGAGACAAGTTTCCACCTAAGTTTAAATAAAGTGGATGTAAGCAATTATAGGCACATGTATGGCCTTCAACAATGAGAAAACCCATACTGTATAGTCAGTTATGAAGCAGTTCAATTGAGAAAAGTAAAGGACTAATTAAAAACAAAACAATTTACCAAAAAAAAATATGGCAGACATGAACCAATAACCTGTACATACAAAATTAATGAAGTAAACAAATTAAGCAATTCTATGATTACTAGAAATGACCTATTACTAAAAAGTCAAAATTAATGAAGTAATCAAATTAAGCAATTCTATGATTACTAGAAAAGACCTATTACTAAAAAGTCAACTCAAAGTGGATGTTGTGTAAGCTTCCATGAGACAATCACCAGAAAAAAATGAACTATTTCAAAATAAAAATGTATTTTGAAATTATTTTACTCTATCAAGGCAACAAATTAGTATTTTAGTAAATAATGGCACAAAAAATATCCCATATCGGATGGTGAGGATTGGGGTTTACAGAATAGAGAAAAATGGGCAAAAGAAATATATATAAAAGGACCAAAGAGATAAAGAATAGAAAATACAATGTAGTGGGCTAAAAGTATTATCAAAATTGAAATGAAGGACCCACCATCCAGACCCTCATAGCCTATATATTTATCTATTATAAAAAGAAACCATTTGTTTCTTCTTTTATATACATGTACTTTGAAATTTAAAGTTCTCTAAGAGTTCATCACACAATCTGAAAAAAATTTAAAATTTAAAAAAAAATTTAAAAAATTGGTAGCCATGGTCATGATGGTAACCGATTTAATAGTTCAAAATATATATCAGTTAGAATAAATCATACTTTTTCAAATTATTTGACAAACATTAAACATAAACTTAAGGAGTCTAATTATAGAATGAACAATTTTGGAAGAATACACATTAACAAGAAAAAGTCTTGAGTTTTTCGAATGATATCTTCAATTTGTCAATTTATTTCCAAGATACATGTAAGTTACGAATCATGAAATGTTTTTTTCTCAGAAACTACTTGTGCTATCCCCTTGAAATTTTTACAGAATGTTATTTATGATAATTAGGCTCCAAAAATGCAAAAAAATCAAAATATGTATTTTTCTCATCTGGACCCATTTTCTCAGTCATGGTCACAAATACAACTTTTGCAAATATGGCTTTGTTTAAACACTTCTAGGACATATATTAACTAACTTATGTTAGATATATGGTTAGGGATGATACTGTTGTGACAAGAATTCTAAACTGACCATTTGAGGCAGAAATTGTGAACTTTCATTGACAAATAGGCATACAGTAAGATGTGGACTGGAGACACAGGCAGGATTGGATACTTTGTATAATCTTGAATGTTGGAATGCTTAACTACTAAACAATACATTTATAGTATTCTAAAATGCTTTCAATTTGTTATCAGAATAGTTTCAAACAGGTTTTAGACAGTTCATGCCAGAAAACATGCACATAGGGTAAGCTGGCAATAGTTAGAGTCTTGTTTTCAAAATCTTTAAAAAATTGAAACAGGGGTAGGGGTATAAAATGTACTGTAAAAGGAGACTTAGAGTATATGCAGTGATTTCTTTAAGGCTATAATTCTGATAAATAAGTACTGTTGTGAGAAAAAGTGTTTTTAGAGAGTTTTCTATTTGAATAAATGTTTGTATAGGTTGCACTTTGTAAATGCAGCTGTTTCTCAAACCACACCTCTTTTGGGGAGATATTTAATATTCATAGGTATGTTAATTTGTTAACGTACTGGTTTCCATTGATGATCTCTGTGTTTCATCTCATAGAGACATCACTTGGGAATGTAACCAGTATAGAAAAACATGGTAGCGGCTAAATTTTAATTCTTAGGAGGTTCAAAAATGGAGGTAAGGGTAGTATAGAATTTTAGTATAAGTTTAAACTCTTAGAAGTTCAGGGCATATAAATGTTGAAAATATGCCGCACAGCCCTATATTTTGACCTTTGAATAAAATAGTAGTGCATATAAACTTTCCGTTCTGGGATATTAATTTTCACGAAACTTCATAGTAAAAGTGTCACAGTTTAAGCCGCAAAGGGAGTTCCTATGGGAAATTGCATTGTCTGTATTTACAGAATTGCAACCTTAAGGCATTATAAAAAATGCATAAATTTAGAAAATGCCTGTAACATATACAAAAAACCAATAAAATACAATAACATTAATCAATGACGTCATGATTAATAGTAAACGTGAGGTCACCATTAATAGTAAACGTGACGTCACCATTAATAGTAAACGTGACGTCATGAACCCCATTGAAATCTACTGACCCCATACGGATCCATAGGGGGTCACCACGTGACGGAGTTAAACCAATCACAACGTCACTATTTACCCGAGGTGCGATAAGAATTGTTAGTGATCATTATAAAAAGTGTAAAAATGTACATGAAAATAGCAAAGCAGTTAAAAAACATAAGTATTTAAATACAGATTATAAGTTATATGGTTTGCTACTGACCCCCTACGGATCCATATGGGGTCAGGCCGAAGGCTGAGTCTCCTATGAATTTTGCTACCCTTCTATGGATCCGTAGGGGTCAGTAGTGAACTGTATAAAGAATTCATCGCACACAGGACTTTTACTGCTAAGTTATGTATAAAAATAAGCAATGATATATAAAAACATTAATCGATGACGTCACCATTAATAGTAAACGTGACGTCATGAACCCCATATGAAATCTACTAATCCTATATGGATCCATAGGGGATCACTACGTGACGGCTTTAAACCAATCATACGTCATAATTTATCCATGGTGCGATAATAGCTAATGTTTGGTATATAGGTTAACATGGTTAATCAATAACAGTTTATGAGCAAACTAAATTTATATTCGTCGATACAAAATTAACTGTAATTTTAATATTAAACTAGGTAAATAAAGGCAACAGTAGTATACCGCTGTTAGAAATTCATAAATCGATTGAGAAAAAACAAATCCGGGTTACAAACTAAAATGAGGGAAACACATTAAATATAAGAGGAGAACTACGACACAACAGAAACACAAAATTAAAATGTTACACACTCAGAAACGAACTATAATATAACAATGACCATTTTCCTGACTTGGTACAGGACATTTTAAGAAAAAAAAATGGTGGGTTGAACCTGGTTTTGTGGCTAGCCAAACCTCGCACTTTTATGGCAATTTTAAATATAACACTAAAATGACACCATTACATGACATAAATACAGTACAACATTACGGACAGAGAATTACGCAAATAAACAATACAATATAGTACATTTGGACAACGAAACAACAGAAACACTGAAGTGAACAAACAACAAACGACAATGCAACACACACAGAAACAAACTATACGATAACATGTGAAATATAACATTAAAATGACAACATTACATGACAGGACTACAATACAAATAAATGGGAGAACATATAGGACAAAGAAACATACGAATAATAGCTAACAAAAGGTACCAGTTTTAAAATTAAATACGCAAGACGCGCGTTTCGTCCACACAACACTAACCAGTGACGCTCAGATCAAAAAAGTTCAAAAGCCAAAACAAGTACAAAGTTGAAGAGCATTGAGGACCAAAAGTTCCAAAAAGTTGTGCCAAATACGGCTAAGGTTATATGTCTGGGATAAGAAAATCCTTAGTATTTTGAATAGTTCATACTTTTGCAAACAGTAAACATTTTAATGCACCAGAAGCGCATTTCTACAATTAATGTATCCATAGCGGTGAATTGATCTGGGCCAACATATTCAAAAATCTAAAACCTAATACAAATATGTGCAGAGCTGATAAAACGAATGTCCT